ACAAGTGCGTGAATGGTTGGTCAATTTGTTTCGAAAAATACGAACCGAAAATGGTTGAATCCGAGACCTGGATCTCGGAGTTTAACAAAAAATTTCTAAGGAGATCAAAGTTCCTTTTTTGTTTTCTTCTCTTATTCGTCAACATTCGAAATTACCCAAAGAATCTCTCACTTTCCCTCTTTCAATTTCTCGGTGTTTCTCGAAGTCTTTACGTTTTGCGATTGATCGCGAAACGAGTTTGTTATTGTTATGCCAACGTAGCAACGAACGTCCCAATATCGACAATCGAAACACCGATACTCCACCGATTCGTTTATCAATGAGCCAACTTACGAACGAAACGTGGGATCGACTTTAAACGAAAATTAGCAAGTTAGAACGAAAACTGGAATCGGTACACTTCGTGCGATTAATTTCGTCTCGTGAATGAGATTACCAGTTACTAATCTTCTTGGCATTGTTTGCTCGTCCAAACTCCTCTGCACAGATCGCGGGGAAAACGAGACGAAGCGGTACGTACCGTGACACGAAACGAATTTGCATTGCACAATCAACGAGCACGTTTCATCGATTGCGACCGGCTGGGCCGCTCGATAAGCGCACCTACCGGAAAACAACAGGAACCGTTTCCGTGTTGTTCCGTGTACACACGAACTCTCGATGCAGACAGAGAGAGAGAGAGAGAGACAGAGAGAGAGAGAGAGGGGAGGGGAGAGAAAGGGAGAATTGAATAAAAGAAGACGGGGAAAACGATGCTCGCCTCTTGGAAAGGAACGCAGCTGACGGCAAAGAGCCAGAGAGACACACAGGGGGTTGATGACGTGGTCAGGCAATTTCTGCGCTCCACTGTGCTCGGTGCTCCCGTGTTCGCAACAATGCGAATGTCGCGTTATATTGTCGCAGCGGCGGTATCGATCGGTGTCCAACCGATGGAAGGCAACGTGGCATCGAAGGCTAACTGTCGCGTGTCCTGTCGCGTGGACACCGGCAATAAAGGGAAGGACCCGGCCATTTAACCGTTTCGCTGAACATTACGGGCAAAACTCTTTTGAAAGCGTACTTAGAGAGCGTGTTGCTGTGAAACTAAAGGCGAAACCGTGCAAAGTTCGACGTGATTGGAAGGTGTTGTTGATCACGGAGGGCTTGCGAAACAATGGGACGCGTGTTTTTTAACTCTCCACTCGGTATCGGTTTGCCGTCCAGTTGCTTTTAGAACTGAATAATAAATTAATCGAATCGCCCCGTTAACCGCTTGCGCTGGCAACTGATTGCGGACCATAACGAGTGACCAGCACCGTGTACAATAATTCGTCGCTTTCTTTTTCTTTTTGAACTCGTCAGTATGATATCACTGGACAGAAATTATTGAGAAGTAATAAATTCATCATTTGTTTTGCCTAGGTTATAGTTAAATATACCCAACCTAGACGAAACAAATGATAAATTTATTATACCTATATGTACCTAACAAAAACTGAGAAAATATTGCAATTTCGGAGAAAAAATTCTCGACGTGAAGTTAACCACTTGCGTTGGCAACTGATTACGGACCATAACGAGTGACCAACACCGTGTACAATAATTCGTCGCTTTCTTTTTGAACTTGTCGGTATCGATATCACTGGATAGAAATTATTGCGAAGTAATAAATTTGTTATTTGTTTTGCCTATTTTATTTTACTTAAATATACTTAAAACTGAGAAACTATTACAATTTTGGAACGAAAAATTCTCGACATGCGTGGCACGTCATTCCAGCGCAAGAGGTTAACCACTTGCGCTGGCAACTGATTGCGGACCATAACGAGTGACCAACACCGTGTACAGTAATTCGTCGCTATCTTCTTGAACTCGTCGGTATCGATATCACTGGATAGAAATTATGGCGAGGTAATAAATTTATTATTTGTTTTTCCTATATTGTTTTACTTGAATATACTTGAAACTGTGGAAATATTGCAATTTTGGGAGAAAAAATTCTCGACGTCATTCCAGAAGACGCACAAGAGGTTAATCCGCAACTGATCTTATTGATCAATTCTGAAGATTCGACTTAATTTAAATTAAGCGAGAGTAAAAAGCACAAAAAAAAAAAAAAAAAAATGAAATTTTTCTAGCACAGTTACGAGCAACACGATAACTATTATTCCGAATGATTCTATTATTCGTGTATGTTGCGTGATGGAAAAATTTTATTTTATACGTCATAGTCGTGTATCTGTAATGAAATTAAATCGAGTTTTCAAAATTGATTCAGGATTCCAATTTTTAATGGTATCGGTTAGAGGTTAAATTATGGAGGTCAATTATGTTTCAATAACGTTAGTCAATGGTTAATAATAATATTTGGAAGAGATGGTCGATCGATATGCTGAAGAAATGATATGGGTTTTAATGGAACGATCGGTGCGCGTGTTTGTGAGAATTGGACGAAATGCGGAGGTATTTGTACAAGGTATCGATTGACATTTTTAATGGATGGTTCAGGTTGAATCGTGAATAAACATCAGATATATTCGCGCGCCGGGCGAACACTCAATAATCTTTTATCTTGACATTTATCAGTGACAACAGAGCTCTTACAAGTGTCAAACCGCCATTTAGGTAATCGTCGTGTGAGAAACATAGCGTAGAAGGTTGTAGAAGGTCGAATCTTTATTTAAAAATATCACAAAACACCGAGAAGGTAAAATTGAGAGATTAAGGAGGAAAGTGAACAATTAGAAATCAAGTGCAAAATACAAATAATAAAATGCAAAATACGAGTACGAAAAATGTACGAAATATATTACAAATCTTAATTGGATGAACGGAAGGATAAACCCACGTGTTACAGAGACGACGAAACGAAAAGCATGGTGAAAGAAAAACTCGGAAAATTCTAAATGCACGTGTCTCACACACACACACACACGCAACAGATACCCTTATATAATACTCACTATACCAGAGAAGCTCATCGTTCTTTCTTTCGCTTTGGTCGTTTTCTCGTTAACAATCGTACATGCTGGGGCCAGCTGACGCGTGCCAGCAACAGGAAATGAAACGGCGCGGCGCACCGGTTCCGTGTGATTCACGAATTCAAATATTCATGGCGGGGGTCATGGGGGTTGCGAACGAACTCCCCCCGGTTCACCGCACGTTCGAAACGAAACGAAAGAAAAAAAAAAAAAAAAAAAAAGGAGAGAGAGAAAAAAATAGGGAGAAAGAAAGGAGGGACGAAGAAGGAGGAAGGAGAGCGTAGCGTTATCGATGCCCTTTAATTTTCGTCGGCGACGCGTCTCGTTCCGGCCGAGGAAATCCTTCGGGGATAATTAAAGGCTGTCATTTGGCGGTTTGGCTCGGTTCGCCCGTTATACCGTATCGACGTCGATCCACGAGGCGCGACCCTGTGAATCGGAAAACCTCGTGGCGTTTAATTTTCGAAGCAGCAACCGTTTCCAATAATCGTTCGCCGCGGAAATGGCCAAATTAAAGGAGCCTTTTATGGATGGAATACGAAAACTCGTCGATGAAAAAGCAACAAAAGAAAAA